GGAAATTTGGGAGAGTGGGAATTGGGAACTTGGGTGCTTGAGAGTTATGGAATTTGAGAGATTGGAAATTTGGAAGATTGGAAATTTGAGAGTGTGGGAATTTGGGAGTTTGGGGACTTGAGAGTTTTGGAATTTGAGAGATTGGAAATTTGGAAGATTGGAAATTTGAGAGCTTGGAAATTTGGGAGTATGAAAATTTGAGAGCTTGGAAATTTGGAAGAGTGGGAATTGGGTGCTTGAGTGCTTGAAAGTTATGGAATTTGAGAGATTGGAAATTTGGAAGATTGGAAATTTGAGAGTGTGGGAATTTGGGAGTTTGGGGACTTGAGAGTTTTGGAATTTGAGAGATTGGAAATTTGGAAGATTGGAAATTTGAGAGTGTGGGAATTTGGGAGTTTGGGGACTTGAGAGTTTTGGAATTTGAGAGATTGGAAATTTGGAAGATTGGAAATTTGAGAGCTTAAAAATTTGGGAGTATGGAAATTTGAAAGCTTGGAAATTTGAGAACTTGGAAATTTTAAAACGTAAAAATTTGAAAATTTGTCAATTTGAGAGCTTAAGAACTGAGAACTTCAAAACCTTAAAACTTCATAAATTTAAAATCCTCTAAATCCCCAAACCTTAATCCACCTTACAACCTTACAAAAGACATTTCACTCCCTTCCCCTACCAAAATAAAAAATATCCAAACCAGATTTCCCCACAAAACTTATTAATCTTTAACACGACACCATTAACCTTGGTTAATCATGAACCCTTCCCCAAGAACTACTAACAAGTCCCATACAAAGAGCGTATTTTATCAATGAAAAGAGCCGTGAAGAGAACGCTTGACACGTTGAATTGTAGTCACTTTTATCCAGGAACATTATCTCCAGCAAGCTCTTTCCCTCCCTTTCCAATTTCCTCGACAAGTCAGTGTTCACTAGTTTCAGTCGTTTTCACTCGCAGGCGCCACGTAAAATAATAATATTAAGCCAGGTGAGATTTAATCGGGGGCCTTTGAACGTAGCCGGACTGGCATGCATGCATCGAAACCACGGTGGCTAGATGTTACCTGTGTGTTCGTACACACACTCGCGCACGTAATAACACTTTATTCGTGTTCGTATGCGTGGAACAGTGTGGGAGAATTACATTCATGTTTAGCAGCGTGCTCAACGGTTGGTCGATTGACTTTCTGAACAGTCTTTCAAAAATATCGAATGGTTCGAATTAAAATAACTTGGGACAACTTAGAATTATTTTTAACACTTTCATTGATATTTGCTGTTTATTATATATTTCTACAACAATTTTATTCTTTGCTGTATGGCTCTTTTAACTTGGTAAATAATACAGTAAAGATAATATTAGAATGATTATTATATTATAAGTTTATTCAAAGAGAACTTGTATACCATTCCATTATATTAAATATAAAATAGAAATTGTGATTATGAGATGTAATAGTAATAGTCATGCATGATTTCCACAGTTCAAGATATAAAATCACCAATTTTCAGATTAGAATTAATGCAGTAACTATAAATAAACCAAGGAATGCTGCTGGAAGCAGTTGCATATCAAACCCAATACGTGACACCGACTGCCAAAGTAATTAACATTGCTGTCCCTCGCCCACACTTTCACATTATGACACTTGGAACGAGTTACATTTTTACAAACTTTTAAATAATTCATTTACGAAACGTGGTCTGGACATTTATATTTATGCCTGCAAACATCACTTCTGACAATGCAACAAATAGTAGAACGGTGCGAGGCGATTAGTAGTTATCGTAGTAGTTCAATGTATGGGAGTGCGGGATGTGACAATGTATAGTGATATAACAAATAGTAATGACGTGTATAATAGTACAATGCGAAGTAGTACTATGCGTGATGAATTATCACTATAGTAGTTTAGTGCGTGGTGATTCGACGCGTGGTAATTCGACGCGCGGTAATTCGGCGCGTGGTATTTCAGTGCGTGGTAGCTCAACGCGTGGTAATTCGAGGCGTGGTAATTCGGGGCGTGGTAATTCGGTGCGTGGTAATCCGACGCGTGGTAATTCGACGCGTGGTAACTCGATTCGTGGTATCTCAACGCGTGGTAATTCAGCACGTAGTAATTCGACGCGTGGTAATTCGGTGCGTGGCATCTCGACGCGTGGTAATTCGACGCATGGTAATTCGATGCGTAGTAATTCGACGCGTGGTATCTCGACGCGTGGTAATTCGACGCATGGAACTTCGACGCGTCGTAATTCGGGGCGTGGTAATTCGGTGCGTGGTAATTCAACGCGTAGTAATTCGACGCGTGGTAATTCAGCGCGTAGTAATTCGATGCGTGGTAACTCAACGCGTGGTAATTCGACGCATGGTAATTCGACGCGTGGTAATTCGGGGCGTGGTAATTCGGTGCGTGGTAATTCAGCGCGTAGTAATTCGATGCGTGGTAACTCAACGCGTGGTAATTCGATGCGTGGTAACTCGATCCGTGGTATCTCAACGCGTGGTAACTCAACGCGTGGTAATTCGACGCGTGGTAACTCAACGCGTAGTAATTCGGTGCGTGGTAATTCA